CATTCAGAAGTATCGACAGTAAACGAAATTCAATTGGCTCAACTAACTTAAACAGTGTCGCGTTAAAATAGCGCTGTCGCAACATTCTCACGCCGCCGTTGTACAAAAACAAAAAAAAAAAAAAAACAAAAAAATGAGTACTAGTCTGACATACCAAAAGCTTAATATCCACCTGTCAGATATCACAAATTGCTTAGCTTCGTCGCTCCAACGAGGACTACAATTGAGAATCGGTCACTCGAGATCCCTCGAAACGAAATCCTCATGTATCGTACGAAACGTATCGAAGAATGCGCCGGCTTACGGGGCGTGGAGAATCCGTCGCGCACTCGTCGACACCTGGCGAACATTCCTGCACCTCCCTCCCCCCTTCGCATTTGCGGCGAGAAGAAGAGAGTATATACGGCGAAGAGGGATCGTACCGCGTCGTTTCTATTAGTTCAGTCATCGACAATGCAAACACTGCTTTGTGGTGCGCGTGGTACGTTGTTCGAGCTCGGGATGCACTTGAGACTGCGGATGCTCCCCGTCCGCGTGCTAGCGCGCGCGATTCCAAGCCGCGCGAGGGGAGGAAGGTTAAGAGCGACGAGGAGAGACTCGCCCAGCGAAAGGAAGAAGGAGAGAAAGAAAGAGATAGATAGATAGATAGAGAGAGAGTGGTACGACTCGTGACAATGTCAATGTTTGCGTCGTTGCACCGAAGCACTCTCAGAACGGGCCGGAGACTGAGTGTCTTCAGGTTGTACAGGAAGAAGAATGGATTCGTGTCGAGGGTACGTAGAACTAGTCGCTGTTTGCGGGGACTACCTCAATGAACCTCCATTAATTTCCAAGCTTTTCTCTCCGGGAGTCTCTCCTCCCTTCCTCGCCACGAGTCTCCCTTCTTCCTTATGCCGCGGAAACGTCAACGCGGTGTCTGTTATCCGCGCCATCCCTCGCCGTGATCCTTTTTCTTCTTCGTTGGACGTAGTTGGAACGTTGCTTGGCAGAACGAACGCTGCTGGATCCTATTGAATGAATGTGAATGAATCTTTATTTCGGCCTAGAAATAGACCTCAGTGCCTTACATTATTCTTTACATTTTGCTTTTTGTTTTAATCCCTTACATCTAGTATTGTATGGTTTAACCTATCCTTATACCATACGTAGACTAATTAGACTAATAGCGAATGATATTTGCACACTGCCTCTACAATATTTCTCTTTGGTACTATACTTTATCTGTGTCTCTATATTTAGCTTTCTGTTTCTTTTTCTCTCCTTTTTCTTCTCAATTTTTCTGAGCCAAGCCACGGCTTCCGCATCACCCTCTTCTGCTAGGATCCTTTCTATGTTGAGACCGGTTTCTCTCAATTCCCTGCATTGTCTCCAGTGCTCGAACGTTCCTTCCTCCTGGATCCTATTGAATGAATTGAATTCAGATTTCGGGGGCCGGTCAACGTAGAATTGGAATTTGTACAATTAGTCGTAGGGCGATTTGTAACTTTAGGCCAAGTAGCTGTTGGGGATAGCTCAAAAATGTGAGAGATACGGAGTCAGTCAGTATTGCAATATACATACATTTCCTACAATGCGTATATATTTTTCTACTCTTTCTACTTGAATGTCGTCTATTAACTATTAAATTTATTGTAACAAAGTTATTATTATAACAATTTATTACAACAAAGTTACATTGTAACAAAGTTTATTGCAACAAAGTTCGAAAAGCTTCTCCATCTTGAAAAGACCAAAGAGCTTTTCTATCTTATTTAAAAGAAATTTTTTATACATTGAAAATCTCGCCCAGTAATTTTTTATGTAGAAACTCCCTTTAACCAAATCTTCGAAACTCTGCAACATACGCGTGTATGTACATTGTTCAATCGGGGGATATTTCAAAAATGAATATGAAGCATTTGATTCTGCTTTTCTGCGTTTTTGCTTTGCTCTTTCCCGATGCTCTCGTTTAGACTCTTGTGATGGACGCGTCACGCACGTCGAGAAGACTTTTTGTCCCAAATTGCAACATTTTCTCAGTTTTAAGACAGGTATTTAGGACAATAATTTAGGATAATGATAAGTTTATTACTTCTTAATAATTTCTATCCGGTGATGTCATACCGACGAGTCATATCGAAAGAAAAAGAAAGCGACGAATTATTGTACTCGGTCGCTCGTTAAGGTCCGCGCAAGGGGTTAACAAAAAAAAAAAAAAAAAAAAAAAAAAAAAAAACAAATGCTTCTCGACATATCCCCTAATTTTTGTGGTAGCAGTATATTATACAGTAATACATTATACAGTTCACTCGATGCCCGAGAATTTTCAGTCACTCTCAGAGATGTGTGCATAAATTACTTGGCGAGTCGTACACGGGGCTGGAGCTTTCCGCGAGACGTACGACCGCGGAGGAATTAGGCTTTGACACGGCGAGGATCGTTGCTCGGCGTGTAACGGGTCGTCGCGAAGGTGGCGTCGGCCATCAGCTGAATCCCTCCGGGTGTTCCGGTATTTGTCGTCGCGAGCCGATCTCCGCGTGGGCGTGCTTTACGGCCGCGATCGTAAGGGAGACGATCGAGAGAAGAGGGTGGCTGCTACGCTGCATGGAGATCTGATTTGCGAGCGCCATTACACGTCAGCCGGCGATGTGTTGCGGAGAGATCGCAACTGTTGTGCATTTATGAATACCATTACCCTTAATATATCGCGCGTGTAACTCTGCCTGCTAATTCCGGGGTCCGGAGCTGGCAATAAAATCCACCGGAGCTGGCCCTTCTTCTTTTTTTTTTTTTTTTTTTTTTCCTCAATGCCTGTTGGTTCTTTGTCGGTGGTTCGATTTCTTTCCTCTCTTTCCCCCTGTTTTTTAAAAGGACAGATTTATCGTTATCTCGCGTACGGCGTGGGGCTCCGGCTTTACGACTAACTTTTTACGCGAAAATGTCGAGTACACCGTCGATAAAAAAAAGTGGGACCCCCTGCGAATGTGAGTGATACGTTCTGTATTATACGAAAATCAATTTTTTTTTTTTTTTTTTTTTTCAATAAAATAGGAAGTAACATGTATAAATCTTCTGCCTTGTCTTTTGTGGTGGATATTGGAAGTCACGACTGAAAAATATTGTTTCTTATTTGTTGATGTTGAAAATAGCAAAAATGAGTCAAATAACGAATCAGTTTCTTGTAATTGAAATTCCTTTTTGAAATAACACGACTAATTCTATATAGAAGTAACTGACATCAAAGTACAACGTGTACTTTAAGCAAACTCTCTTCTTGTCGTATCAATGCAAAACTGTGTGTGTTTTAAATCAATGGGAAAAACTCATACGTTATCGGTAACATTTTACTCGCGTTATACGGGGACAGTGGAGAAATTTCTAATTCACGTTATGTGTCAGTATATAATTAACGTATAATTTAAAATATGTAGTACGCTTAATTACGATACAAAATAAAATAATGTAAAATATATAGTGTACACGCAACAGTATATAATTTGAAATATATAGTCCATGATCTATAACGAAATGAACGTACACCTTCATATTCTTTACAAAAAATTCTTTACAAAAAAAGGTACCTAACCTATTTTACGTAAAAAAAAAAAATCATTAGTTTAGAAGATATTTTAATTTTTATAATCGCGATGGCAGAATCTCGCCAACGAAGACTGCCCGAACAATCTGCTGGAAAAATCTGCGAGTCCGAGGAACGCAGGCCGCAATTAATCGTGGTGGGATCTCGCGGCGGTCGTGAACCCGTCCTTCTGTCGCCTCGTCATCCCAATTACCGCGCTCCGTCGAATCACGCGAGCTTGATCCTCCGGAGAGTACTCGCGCCTCTGTTATTTGCGCGTTTCCTCTCGCAGGGAAGCGAGACCACCGCCACGTGTGCACGTGTGCACGTGTGCACGCGCACGCGTTAGCCGTGGAGGCTCGTTCGTCGGCGCTCATGCGCGCGATATCTGCGCGGGAGAGGCTGAGGTGAGGAAGGAGTTTTAGATAAGGAGAGCACTGCGCGGAGGACGGCTCAGATACGATCTCATTCGCGCGAGTTAGCGCGCGAGTACACGACGCGTACACGAGGCCGATCGGCGGAATTCCGGGCGATAATGCAACAGATGACGCGATCTGAAGCGTGGCCAGGTCTCGGTAAATGGATGTTACTCGGGGATGGTGTTGCTGTTGCTTGTTTCGCGCGGCTGGGAGCGTGTTATGCGATGACGTGGGTTACGTAAGGGGGAGGGAATTTATTGGACGAGGCTCTTCGGCTGTTGTTTGCATAGAGATGTAATGGAGTTGCGGGAAACGAGGGCTAGATAACGACGACTCGCGATGGGGGGAAAGTTTGTGACGGAAGCCTTGGGAGAATTTTGAAATTCAGCGCTGTTTTTTTGCGAGTTTGCATTTCTCTTACGAACGTAATCAGAGAAATATACAGGGTGTTTCGTAACTTGTGGGACCTTCGGGAGCTGATTGTACGCCTAAAAATAATGAAAAAAAGAGTCATACAAATATATGTCCTATCTGTTTTCGTTTATGAGATATAATGAATTTTATAAACAGAGCAAACTCTAGTTACCAAGGATGGTATATTCAATTTTTATAATAATCATAATTAGGATGAAGAAAATCCCTTGCGAATTTGATATCTTCATCGATAGTAATAAAATTTAGCAAACCGTAGTTTGAATGTTTCACTGTCCATATCAGATAATTCTTTATGAACTTGTTCAGCGTCTTTTCTTTTTTCGAAAGTAATACAGTAAAATATGACGAAAATGATTGATCTTATCGTACTTGAGATTAATTTATGGGGCGTTTAGTCGGAATTTTATAAGTGGTCAAATTGCTGTCGCGAACTGTTCCCCTGGGCGGGAATAGAGGAATTCGCGCCATTTATCGCACGCGCGATATGTTTATTACATTTAGTCAAAGAGGAAGACATATTCTGTAATGATCGTTTCTTCTTTTTTGTTTTTGTAACGAAACTGTATGTATGCCGTTCTTTTGTGTTTCAGCAAATCTTGCAAAAGTCTTCGGTCTCGGTGGAGATCGAAGTGAGACCCAGGCAACTGGTGCCGGATACTAACTGTTTCATCGACTATCTACCGCAGTTGCAAAATATCGCCAAGGCGGTTTCCGGCGCGCAACCGATTTACACGCTTATGGTACCGCTTGTAGGTAAGTAAATTCCCAAATTTACGCTCTTTTGGATCCGGATTGCAATTTTTACTTATTGAATTTCGTATTTTTGGTACTTTGACGTCAATATTTTACTTTGTAAATCTGCGTCCTCGTTGAAGCAGCAATGATAGATTTTTTGTCGAATTATATATATATATTTTTTTTTTTTTTTGAAAAAGTCGGTTTCCAATATCAGAGGAGAAAATAATACAACTCGAGAAAGTATTTTTATTACTTTGCAATCAAAGTCATAATGCGTTTCAGCGAAGACGAATTCCTTTTTTTTGAGAATTCTTCGACTGATAAAAAGGAATAAAGATTATATTAGTCATTAGATTGGATCGGATTACGTGAGACGTTGTCAAAATAAAATTGTACTTAGAACTGAGTAGAATAGGAAAATTTATTGTGATACAGTGACTGCTATCAATGTCTATCACTTGTTCCACAATTTCCCATTTCCTCTAATAATATACACAGTTGCAAATATGTCTATGAATAAGTCTTTAAAAAAAAACACACTAGCGCTCAATTCTTCAATTTTCACACGTTCAAAATCGTCATCCCTAACAAATGTCAGAACGTCGATAAAACAGAAACCAATATTTGTCGACCAATGCCAAGAGTCAAGAGACAAAATAATTCTCTGCAGCCAATCCTCTACAGCCAACGTCTTCGAACCGGTTGACTTCGGTTCTTCTCCGATGGGTGAACTTTCTTCTTTTTTTTTTCTTTTCTTTTTCTTTTTATTCTTGGCGAAGATCGACGATTATCCCGTCCGAGGCGGAGGTGTGTAACATCGCCCCGAAATAATGCTCGGTCGCGGACGGAAGAAAAAGTAAAACGTGCGAAATGATCGGCGATAAATAACGAGCGGGAGGTTGTCACTGGTGTTTGGAACGTGCGTGCGACCCCCGAAAATAAAAGCGAAGGGGGGGGGGGGGGGGGCTTCGAGGCGAATGGAAATCGCTGGATATCGTAAAACCGCCTCCGCCTGTTCCTTATCCTCTTGCTGTTTTCATTTCATCTCGTTTTATTTCCCTTCCCTTCGACAAACGTTCGCAGGAGTTACTCGACTGACAATAACTATGTATGAATATTCGTTGAATGTTCTGCGACATCGGAATCAAGCAGGTTTGTGGAAAGCTGAGGGTAAAGAAGCTAAAGTTAAAATGACAAAAGCTCGAAATATCGGGTGGCTGAAAAACTGAAGGGTTTGAGAAAGTCATAATTTTTCATCAATTATATTTATATTATTTATATTATATTTACGTTATTTATAATTTTATTTATATTACATATATAATATATATAATTATATTTATATTATTTATAATTTTTGAATTATATTTTATTTATATTCAAAATCCATTAATATATTAAATATTATTATATATTATATTATTATAATATATTAAATATAATTGCAATATATTTCCATTAATTATATTTAATAAAATAATAAAAGATTTAAAGAAACATGTGTTTTGTAAAAGTTATCATTCAGTCTTTCAGCGGCCACCCTGTAGAAAGTGAAGTTCAACGTTCGCAAGTTTTTTTTGAACGTCCAATGTTTGCAGCGTTGCAATCGTGTCTCGGACTATCGGATTCGAAGTGGTTACGATCGTGCCAGAGGGGGCTGCAGGAAGTATTCGAAAATACGTGCAAGCAATCGCCCCGAGAGAAAAACACGTCTGTTCGTGGATTTCTCGAAACTTTTTCGGTGGTCGAACGTCGCCGGCGAACAATTTATTCGAGGGAGGGCGCAGTTTCAACTCTCTATCTCAACCCTTTCTCCCTTCGTCCTTGCGAATTCGTCCCAACCCGGTCTGACAGTGGGTTAATTTATTTGAGGGTCGCGAAGGAAAAAGTTTCCTCTTGGTTCGTTGCGGCGAGATGGGTCTTCAAAACTCTCTCTCGCGATTTTTTTTTTTTTTAACACTAGAACTACTAAAATTTTTAATTTAAAAAATTGTTTTTTTTAAATTTTTAAAATTGATAATTTCTGTTATCTACTTTTATAGATATAAAACAGTGTATTTTTAAAGGCTTAAAATAAAGATACTTCATAAAATACATACAAAACGAAAGCTTGTGTACCATGTTTGTATATCTATAAAAATTTTCCGTTTCTCTTACTTCAATCCGATGGAAGCTTTTACGCTTTAGTCGTCGGTAGCTCTAGCGTCAAAATTGAAAATCATAGAAAATTTCACCCAGGGAAAACTCACTTGGCCTAATCGTAAGTAAGTCACGGTCTCAGAAACGCGATGGGGTGTCATTGGAAAACGAAAGTGCGTATTCAGTGCAAAATGGACTGACGTTGCCTGGCCTTTGACCTAACCGGCGGACAGCCGCGATTCGTCTGGCTCCAACAGCGGGCCACGGGTTCACAGTTAGGTTCTAACGGCTCATACATGAATGCATGCGTTATATCCTGGCTGAAACGGTCGACGATTGGGCCCGACGGCCACGTTGTCCAGCCACGATTCGTACGTGGGCGTATGGTGGTCGCCGACTGATGGAGAGAATGCCTTTTCGACCTTCGTTGTTCTCTCCGACGCGGCCAATCGTCGACGTCGATCAATCATCGTCAACCCATTTTCTTTTCTTTTCCGTCGATCAAACGATTCGATCTTGACCGCATAATTTCTTCGCATTCCTTGACGTTGAATTCACTACGCTTTCGTTGTATAATTTTTTATTTCTCATGGTTTCGAGTCACCAGCGTGAATCTACGCAATATAAATTTGTTAATTTCGTGTTGATATCTGTCGTTGATAATATCCAGGAACTTTCGGAAATTTTCGTTTTATTACGAAATCTAGCGGCGAACAACGAACGGAGAAATGCATGGAATTCTGTCACGTATTTCCGTCGACAGTCCAATTACCGCACGTCAGAGACACTCGAAAATTGTTCCTCTATGCGCGCCGCGGCTCTGCTTCCTGATTATTATTATTATTATTAAACGTCGCGCAATGTCGCGACATAAAATTACGCTGTTCGTAATTGAGGAGAAGCAAAGAGGGATGAGAGTGACCAGCGAGATTTGCAAATTTAATAGCAGCCCTGGAGAAAAAGGCACGAACCGGGGTTCGCGGAAAATATTTGATTGTCAAATATTTTTACCGATTTAAAAGCAATGTTATCGCATTGCGCAAACGCATTGTTGTATTTCATACTTTATTATATTCTATATTTTCTATTATTCTTTATTTTATTTCGTTCTATTATTATTCATTTCAGCAGATGAAATCGCCGAGTCGATCGTGTAACTCACCTTTCCCATCTACGTAAATCAATTTCACGAACTTGACGAACACCAAGTTTTAATTATGTCGGCACTTTGATTTCTTGGCGATTAAATGAATTAAATTGGGTTGAAAATGATCTGGAGATCGTGTCCTTTCAGAGGTTCGGATCCCTTCGTTCGTTGTTATTTGCACGAGAAATATGCGGATATGCAAAACGCACATGCAAATGTGCACGAATACTAGGCAAATATGCATGAACACCAGACGTATTTGCATATTTTTCGTGCATATCTGCATATGCCTTTAATTTTTTGCACATTTCACATTCCCAGTCTACATTGATGACGAAATTTCTGAAACTTTACTGTTCTATCTGTAATCAACAATTAAGATTAAAGTCACAATCCCATAAGTAATATCATCTATCGAATCAATAGAATCCGGCGAAAGTAATGTCTCGATTAATCTTATTTTTAACTTTTTCAAATTTACGTTTAACATCTTTTCTTTTTTTTTTTTTTTTTTATCCGTCAAGATTCGTAAAAATTTTCACAGTGGCGACAGAATTTCTTGAATTTTATTAACCAATGTATCCTTCTTTCCTCCACTTTTTACATTATATCGATGCTCGTATATCTTTCGTAAAAAGTTTAAAACCCAAAGTCAATTTCTTATCAATCCGAGCAAGTACGATTGCAAAATGAATTCGAAAGAAAATTGTAAATAAAGTATTGCGATACTCTGTGGTGATGTTTATTGTTAATGTGGGAATAAATCGTTCGCACGAACAAGGAACACACGTTGAATGGTCACGCGTGACTCGGCAGGAAGTTCGTTAGGTTCGTTTTCACGCAACGGGGAGTTGGACAGGCAAAGTCCGAGTAAACACTATTAAATCTCCTTCGTTGAAATTCTGCGTTGACGCTTGTTTTCCCTCGGCAACAGTCTCGATGAAAAAACTTTTTCCACTTGCCACGAGAATAGATTCATCCACCCCTGTTATTTCGTCCTCCCCTTTTCCATGTTATCTTGCGTCCCCGTCCGAGAAGTACAGAGAAACTTGAACGTAACAACGAAAATATTGATTTCAAATTCAAGAGAACACGAATTCTGTAATTTTCCTCTATTTACGGATTATGCTTTCTAACTGTACCAAAAATACGAAAAAATTTTGTGCGCTTCGAAAAGTTTTGTTTTCATTTAATCGACTCTTTTTTTTCCGAGTCGCATGTCGTGTTGCGAAAATACTTGAAAAAATCTTGGGGCAAGCGCTGTGTTTGAATGACACTTTATGCAACGAAGAATCTATAAATCAAATCCGTAATAGAATATCAATGGATATATCAATAGAATATCAAAAGGATCTTTTATGAAATATGAATGTATTAAGAATTGTATCGGTACGAATTAAAAATTTTATTTTCATCTGAAAGTTAAAATTAAAATATGTCCCAAAACCTTTGAGCGAAAGTGTATATTCTTCAATATAAACTTCAAGATTCATCTTTGTAATAGTTGAAGCAACGAAGCGTAATCAACGTCCTCGTTGATATAATTTTTTTCAACCCTATCAAGGGATATTTTAGCCCTCGACATGTGAATTTGTATAAATATTTGTGGTAGTTGCAACTATATTAATCAAACGTTTGCATTTTTGTTGCAGTTCTGAACGAGCTCGAGGGCCTGGCACGAGGCGCGGACTCGAGGGATTGTCCTCCAGCTTCGAGAGCAACTTTGGATCCGGAACACGTGGCCAGGGTGGCCGAAAGCGCGAAGGCGGCTTTGGCTTTCGCGCGAAGCCGAAACCCGGCAATTCGATGCTTAACCACCAGAGGAACTGTCCTTACGTCCAGTACGTTCACCGTTGAAGAGGATGTTGACAAGGTGAGTGAATTAATTTTGTGCAAGCTAAAAAAAAAAAACTCAAACGAAATTTTTGAACTCGATTTTTTTCGAAAATTGTGTTTCTCGTCACGTTCAGTTTCTTCGGATATCTTTCTTCATTTCGAAACGTACAAAGGGTCGTAAAATTACGTCGGATGCTAAAAACTACGTATATTTTATATATTATCTATTATAAATATATCTATTTATATATAATTTAATCTATAATATATCTTATCTATAATATATCTATTTATCTATTTAAATATAAATTTATAGTATAATTATAAAATTATTATTATAGTATAATTATAAATGAACGTACAAATGTAAATGCGATACAGTAATAAATAATTGTTAATAAATAATATCGATATACAGCAACAAAAAATCAAAATTCAAACATCACTTTGTATGATAAATTTGATTAAAACTCGCGATCACAATAATGTGATCATTTAAATTAATTGAAAAAGTTTGTGTCGTGTACTTCGATTAAATAGTAATTTAAAATTACGTTCTACGTTACATAGTAAATTAACTAGAGATGTCATCGATACACAAATTGCGTGATCCAATTGGCACAGCTGTGCAGGTATATTTAGAGCTATGGTCCAGTTAGATGTAGTCATTAACAAGCTCGGGCGAGGTACGCATGCCTGAAAAAGTCACGTGGCGTTGGAAGAGCTTAAAATTCTCGAGAGACCAAGAAAGAGAGAGAGAGAGAGAGAAGCCCTTTCGAGGGCACAGAGAAGCGCCGCCAATTGAAATTCCCGCGATGCTGGGATCGCGTGTCATTTCATAAAAAAAATAATAAGCGAAACATCTGTAATTCCGTTGCAGGACGGCCTGACAAGAAACGATGACAGAATACTGGCTACGTGCTTGAGCCTCTGCAAGGCGGGTAACAAAGATCAAGTAAATGCAGGTACGGTTGCATATTTCTCCCTCCGTAGAGGTACTCCGAACACGTTTCAAGCGTTTCCTCGACGCTTTGATGGTGATTAATACCGCGTCTGGCCGATTGTAATGCCCGTGCCGGCCGTGGATTAACCGTTATCGGCGTCGACAGTGCAAAACACGACTCGTTCGTTAATTTTGCTCGCGAAAATTTTGTCCGCCGATCGGGATATTAATTTCCTTCGCGGGAAATACCGTGACTGCCGAAACACCAAATTTTTACTCGTTCTTGTATTCCAATATGTATACGTTGCACTTGAGAATGAGAATATTATATTTAAAAAAAATATATTTTTGCTTTTCTGTGTCTACGAGCAATCTGGTAACGGTTGTATTGCGAGTTTAAATAAATGGTAACTTTTCTTTTTCTTCCCGATGAACAATTTGATGTTTGGCACTGCTACGGTATTTTCTACAAGGAAAATCTATCTGCAAGAACTCGTTAATTATTTGTTTCGTATACTACGACTAACAAAAGCCGTGACTTTGATAATTTTTCCATTACTTAATTTCTTTTTATTTCTATTTTTATATAATAATTATCTTTCGATGAACAATCATCACTGTGCACAAATATTTACAAAGGGGGAAATATCACTTAAACTTTTTCTAAGTTTCTTCAACTCCATTATTTCTAATCAATATTCGAAAGTACGGACAATTAAGAAATTCTGTGAATTAAGTTCAAGTGCAAGATAGCTGTGGATCCAACAAAATTTTTCCATCTTTTAAAAGTATCTTTATTAACATTTTTATTAAAAACTGCACTGAATTCCATATCTTTGACGAAAAATAACTTATACGAGAGAAATCAGCGATGTTATACTTGAGCAGGGGGTGTGTTTCTATCCTACAATGAGATAAAATACTTTTTATTAATACATCATCTTTAGTACGCAAAGATATAAAAAAAAAAGACGGTGTATGTCAATAGCTTTCTGATCCACGTTGGCTGCCCTCCTTAGTTAAGATGTGAGTATCGCAACGACAGATCTAACGAATTTTATGTATCATTACACATGATTCGACAGTGAATTGAAACATTCAAATTTAAACGAATCGAACGAGAAATTAACGTTAAATTAATGAATGAGACAAGAAGAATTGAAGAAGAGTGTTTCGAGACAAAACATTGTAACAGAGGAGGGTAAGTCGAACCGTGACGCGTCCCCTTTCCCACGTTCCAACGAAAACCGACCAATTCTGTTCCTCGTACCGATCACCTTCCGGTAAACTAAACAGAGCCCGGCGAATTTTCGTTTGAACAGAAGAGGGCCAGCCACGGCGACTGAGAAGGGAAGTGGTCCTACTGACGGAGGACAGGAACCTGAGGGTGAAGGCTCTGGCAAGGGACGTTCCCGTGAGAGAGGTGCCTGACTTCATGCAGTGGGCCGGCCTCGGCTGAGATGCCACCCCGACCAAACTCACCCGCTAATGAAAAAAAATAAAAAAATAAAAAAAATAATATCTCCCGTCACCACCTCCGCTGAGTAAATTTGACCAGCGAGCAGCTGCAGCAACCATCAAAACAGCAGAAGACAGTAAGACACAGAGAGAGAGAGAGAGAGAGAGAGAGAGAGAGAGAGAGTATGAAAATAAACCAAAAAAAAAAAAAAAAGAAAAAAGAGCAAAAGAAAAGAGAATCGTCTCGCATCGTGCTCTCCACCACTCCCCCAAAAAAATCGTGGTCGATCAGCCGTCATGCGCGTCCGTTCCCGCAAACGTAAGTTCGTCGTGAATTGTTCGAGGTCGTGATTGCGCGTCCAATTCGTCGACGAGGACGCGAGAGAGATGGACGGGAAGGAATGTGAGAGAAAGGGAGAGAAAGTAGATGGATGGAGGATATCGAGGAACGATCGAGATCGGTAGAAACAAAGGGCTCGTTTCGGGAAACAGAGAGATGAAAGAGAAAGAGAGAGAGAGAGAGGAGTGAACGTGATCAGTAGACCGCGGATGTTTATGCGATTTTGTATTTTTACGAGCAATGGGATCTACAACAAGGAATTCGTCGGCATGTAAATCATCGACAACCTTAAATTTGCCAAAAGTGTACAAATATCCGCGGTCTAGCGATTAGAAACGAACGACGAAGCGCGAATCGCGACGCTTTTCACCTTTCTTCTTCTGTTTCGTTCAACGCGGCTTACGTGTTTTTGCTTTATAAAATGCAATAGACTCCCTCGAAGAAATTAATACTCCAGCAATAAAAACGTCTTGATTTGACACGTGTAACATGTCACGCTTGATTACATTTGATTGTCGACTGCTTTATTCCGAAATAATTATTGTAAGGAAAAAATTGTCACGGTCTGTTTTCACGGCAAACGTTGTCCAATTAAAGTGGGCTAAGAGGAAGTCTACTGTGACGATTGTTAAGTCTCAATTTTTTTTTTTTTTTTTTTTTTTGCCTAGATGATTCATTTCAACTACGATTAGAATGAATCTACATCCGCGAAATTGTCAGTAGCCGTTAAATGGGAAATTTAATCAATTTTTTTGGGTTTCGATGGAGATTTTTGTAGAGACGAGAGAGAAAAGGAGTGCAAAGCGCCGCGAGCCAGACTCGTGTCGAAGCAGAATTGGTTCCGTTTTGAAAGCACTGGCAGGAGAAATATACTTGATCGGAGAAATTGAAGCAAGAAAAACGAAAGAAATGAAAATAGACGGTATTTTTACATACAGTGAACATCTGTTTTTTTTTTTTTCTTTTTCTTTTTTTTTTTTTTTTTTTTTTTTTAGTTGACTTTTATCGATGCCGACCGCGCCCGGCTTCGTTTTTTCTGTATCTTCGTTTTTATCATGTTTGTAACGATCTATACACATATATACTTATATATACATATATATATATATATAAGTTAAGCATTTACAGTGGCTCACGAAAGTGTTCGGACACTCGTCGCAGAAGAATATTTATGCATATATTTTAAGTTACGTGAAACGTTTTGAAATTTTATTGACACCATAACAGAGCACGATTATTATAGTTTCTCGTCAACTTGAAAATTTCTAAAAATGTTATTGCAAGATTTATCGCAGACATGTATCTAATAAAGAAAAAAAAAAAAAATCAATGTTACAACGTGAATTTTTCTGTTTCGATCTTGTTCTCACTTTTTAGCAAACGAAAAAGGCAATTTTAGAAAAACTTTCAATGTAAAATTTTAAAAGAGAAATTATCAGCGTTGCTCAAACAGAAGATATCCATCATTAGAAAATTATACTATATGTGTATTTTGTTCAAACAGACGGCATCTATTAATTAGCAAATTATACTAATTCGAAAGTGTAAAGATGTGTAATAAATTTATAGATGATCCTACTGAATGTTGAGATTCTTTCGTACAACCAATGGCCAAAGCTTTCACACTTGTATAATCATAATTGTCAAGTTTTACAACATACTGCTAAATATTAATAAAATGTCCAAATGTTTCACGTAACATGTTTCACGATATATATTCATAAAGAGGTTCCTGTGAGTATTCGAGAGTTACTCTCGCGAGAAACTGTATACATATATATTTGTACGCACTTTTGAATATTGTATACGCCGTATGCGGTTGTTGGAGGACGCATTCGGAATCCGCGTGTGTGTGTCGTTTCCCTTTCCTTCTCTTCTCTCTTCTTATGCCGTTCTTTTTTAACCAGCTCCGCATCAAATTGTTTTGGAATTAATTTTTTCTCTTCTCTTCCTCTCGTCTGACGTCTCTTCTCCTTTTCTTTCTCCTTTTTCTTTTCTCATTGTACCTTCGCACGCGGCGTATTCCTCTCCTTTTTTGACGCAGTTTTCCGACATTTCTAACGTGCCTTTTCCATTTTCTTCTCCTCTCCTCTTCTTCTTTTTCGATGCTTTTATTTTTTACTCGTTGTCAGTTGATTTTCTCTTTGCACCTTATCAGGTGTCTCGTGACATCTTATGGAATTTCATCGTATGTAAAATTTTCCTATAACCGTAATTTTTGTGTCTTCGTTTCAAGCGTGGAATTTACACGCTTTGACACACAGCACCTATTAGCAGTAGAAATTTTGTAAGAACTTTCTATTCTTCGTATTACCGTTCTTCGATGAACTACTCTCTCGAGATTTAGACCGTAAAGGAGGATAGTAATTTAAATACACTTTCAAGTATCAGCAAAGTTACTAGAAATGACGATTATAGAACAGAATTTAAATGAACGCTGTCACTTTTTTTCGCTTAAATTTTTTCACGATAGGTATAAGAATTCTTTTTCCAAGATATTTTGCTTACTAATAATCACGAATTCGCGCGAATAAAATAAACCGACTGATCAGAGAATAAAATTTACATTCAAATTGTGCAAGATGTCACGTTACTTTTCAAATGATTCGTGCGAATCGTCAAGAGTACACCGTAAAAACTTTTCAAAGGAACTGTTTATTTCCCCAATGAAAATTCACTACGATTATTTATACTCAGTTTCGTAAGGCGTTACGAGAATGATTTTAATTTCTCTTTTTTATACAGCGATTTACGCGCTCGGTGTTGGCGCAGACGTGTACGAGGACAGGAGTTTCACAGCACGGAGATCAGAGTACGCGAGATGACGTTCCGATTCTCTCGTTCAGCGTCTCTCAGTAACGCGAATTTTCTTTTCAGAGCGTACGAGGCACCGAATCCTCGCCGTTTTCCAGCGACTGCTCGCGCCGTCATTGTCGATTGAACAATCGCGTTGATCTTGTCTCTTGATGCGCAGCAGAGAGGCACGACGACTCGAGCGTTCGTTTCGCTGGTGATTGCCGCGAGAGAAGACGGTTCGTTTCGTTTGGCGAACGCCATTTCGTCGACTAACTATTTTCGTCTGTCTCTCAGAAGTCGAGAAACGTCGACGTTAATTAGCGGACGAAATGGATTCCCCCCCTTTTCTTTTTTTAAATCAAATGTGATATCATTTTTTCTTGCAATTGAATACCTGTTCGTTAACTCTACTATGATCTTGGAATTTTTATGCCATCCTGCGTTGAATTCCGAGTTGATGGAAAGAAAAATCGGTGCCCGAACTTTCCAATTTTCGGCCAATCGACAGGGACGATCGAAAGTAACTTAAAGAACAGGAAAACTTCGCTCAATTTTATATATTAAAACTGATCCTAACGACTGCTGGTTTTGATTACTTGACATTTTAACAATATATAAAAAAAGTCACGATCAAGTGTAATCTGATAATTTTTAATAGTACATATCGTACGAAAGTGGTAGAATTTAGTCGACGAAATGGCTGTTGATTTTATCGACAGTGTATCGTTTAATTGAGCAATATCACGTCATTTTTTAATCACGCAGACGATGCCACATTATTATTATTATTATTATTAATTATTATTATTATTATTATTATTATTATTATACTGTTAACAACGTTGGAGACACTCGAATGAGTTTATTGTCAAAGTTAGTCGATCAGGATCGCGTGCACGCGCACAAGGAGCAGCAGAAAAGAAAAGAAAAAAAAAAACGCTCGTCAATTTCGCAAAGCAAGAGTCGAACATTGCAATATTCGCAGCGACGATAATTTTAATGGGTATATTGGAGCATGTCGATAGGATAAAAAATTCGATAAGACCATTTCCTCTTTTCTTTCGCCACCCTCTGTGACCCAACACGACTCTAGTACCACGTTTTTTACTATCTTTACTAATTTTTTACGATCTTGAAATAATTAATTCACCCTCGTAGAATACATACATACACATATATATATATATGTATAGAAGAGAAGAAAGGGGATGCTATATTAATCACACGCGAAATAGTTGAAACAACAAATCGTATCGCGTTGCAGAGGGTCGCCGTGAATCGTGCATCGGCGTTAACAAAACTGAATATATATATCAATAATTTGGTTCTGCAGTATAGAAAAAAAATTGTTATTACATCGAAGGATGAGATGATCGATCGTAACGTTGCATCATACGTGATCCATCATACGAGTGAAACGATCGACGAAGAATGTTATTATCGAAGGTTATTTACGGTGGCTCGCGAGGTTATTCGAACGCCTGGAACTGATTTTGTGCGCGTTTATGTGAGACATTTTGAAATTTTATCACCATCATATGCGAAGTAGTGCGTAACTTCATGCAAACGTGCATTTAGCAAGAAATTAGGGTGGATAATTATCTGATTAGAAATAGTGAAAGTCGCGATTGTTTAGATAACTTTATCATCTTATAACTTTTGTGTGTGTATATATATGTGTGTGTATTTTTAAATTTGTCTCACACTTGCCCAGTGTAACTCACACTGCATTGTGAAGTTTATATAGCTAAAAAATATACGAGTATACGTTTAAATTTGTTAATACAGTTGATGAAAATTTCAAAATGTCGAATGTGACGTGTGCACGGTATATTCGTGAAATGCATTCGCAGGCGTTCAGACAATTTCGTGATGAATTGCAATGGGGAAAAAAGAAGGGAGAAAGAAACAGGATGAAACACGGCGTGTTACGCGTGCACGCGCCTTTTCTTGTTACCTGTGTCGACGGACTTTCATTTCAAAGAGCACTTGGCAACTGTATAGAGAGCTAGAGAAGTAACAGAGATCTATTATCGTATATAGAGTCGTTGATTTCGCGGGCACTCGAGTGCTCTCGATCACAAATCAAGTACGACTTTTTGCCCGATTGCATATCAATGATTAACCCCTTGCGGGAGATTAAGTTCATAGATTAAACGTATAATAAATAAATAAATAAATAAATGAATAAATAAATAAATAAATAAATAAATATATATATGTATAGGAAGAAATATTGTATGTTCACGCGAGAGATACATGGATAAATTTCCTTTCGCTAGATCGCCGATATCTCCACGATATTTCTCCAAACGTATACGCCGTATTTATTTTTCTAGGAACACGCACTCGCCGTTCGAACTCTGTAATTGTCGTTAGACCGCGGATTTTTATGCATAGGTGAGAAATTTTCAAGTTGTAGCGTATTCAATCGGACTGCGAATTTTTATGCTTTATAGAAAAAAAAAAAAAAGAAGCAAAGAAATGTATAAAATATTCCAAATACACTGCTCTCTGCAACATTATAGCACGTAAAACAATCTTCCATCCAAGTTTCATTTTTTTTTTTTTTAAGGTACGACTCTCCGAAGTTGTTTCGACAGTATTAAATTTCACGATCGTTGAAAAATAATTATTATCGTTAATTCTAAATCCGTGAAAGTGATCAGCATTAGACCTAGTCTCTGAATGGGAAAAAAAAAAAAAAAAAAGGAAAAGGAACCTGCACAAAAATCCGCAATCTGATTATAGTGTTTCGCACTAAAGACACTTAAAAAGCACTTTTTTTTTTAAATTGTTCTCGCAAAAAAACGCGTGTCTAAAAATCCGCCGTCTAATTGTCGTGAATGTGTATATCAAACGATGAATCGTGAGCAACAGATGTATACCGCATAGAGAAACGATCGACCACAAAGGGTTAATCAATTCGAATCCGAAACGTCTCTGAAATTATGCCTGAAACTATATTTTTTCAAGGCTCGATCGAGGTAACGAACATTCCAAGAATTAAAGGGGGATCGAACCGATCGAACGGATCGTCGCTAGGTAGATAATTTTTGCATGTGGCGATGTCCTTTTTCATTCGGATTTCAATGGCCACGTCACGGTGGAAAGATTGCACGCGGCGTGACGAATCGAGGAGGGAAAAAAAACCATCGTTGTTTAGCTTTGTCTCGGTTTGTTAACCAGGCGAGACAAATCGTTCTTCTTTTTTTTTTTTTTTTTTTTTTTTTTTTTTAATCATTGATCGCGATCGCGACGAGAGAGATGCTCGCGATTTTTTTTTAAAAGCCGTGTCCATTTTCTCATTTTTTTTCTTTTTTCGTAATTTCTTCGTTCGTCTTATTATTCGCTCTCGGTCGTCGTTGTCGAGCAGATCGTCCTTTTTTCCCCCCGATGAACTTTTTAACTTGCAGGAGATGATTGGCTCCGTGTAATTTACGAAGGGTGTCGGACAATTTTTTTTTTTTCTTTTTTTTCGTAGAAATTTGGAACCGCTGTCCTGTTCGAAGCAGTTTCGAGCAGAGAAGTATTTTTAATCTGTATTTTTAAGTAGAACGAAGGCAGATTGCTTGCCGTTAACAATTTTTCTATCTGCCTTGTTAAATTCTATTGTTTGATACTGGCGTTATTATTTTTTAATATACTAATATTAATGTTCTTTCTGCATTTTATAAAATTTTAAGGGAACCGAGGTGTTTAAGAGTGATTATTTTTAAATTAACGCTGGGTCCTTGACTTTGGTCCTAGGTTAATAGTAGGTTAATAATAGAAACGGTAGGATTTCATTAGATATAGTCTTTATTAGATATCGTAGGTATAATAGTTCATCTTTAGAGTCTTAAGGAAACGACGATTTTTTTAAAAATCATCGACTTACGTTAAATACAGATCGCGCGAACAGCCAAATTTATTCACAATTCAAAATAAATCAAAGCAATAGAACGCGTGTAATAGTCAGTAACTTCTTTCTCGCGATTATCTGATAGTTTACCTATAGTAATCATGATCAGTAATCGAGGAAAAAAAAAAAATCCAAAATCCATCAAGTCGATGCAATTTTGCAAAATTTGTTTGGAAAAATTCCCCGACACCCAGAATTTTCTGTAATACAAATACGATAGAAACGTAAACAACGGTGACCGAGAGTTCGCGAAATGATTAAAGACAATTGTATCTGTCCGTATTTAACGTTTTATCGCGCGTATTAAATCCTCGAGAATGGAGGAGAATAGGTCACTGAGAAAGAGTGTGTGTGTGTGATAGAGAGATAGAGAGAGAGAGAGTGTGTAGTTGATAAATAAGGGAGAACCGAAAATGCAACGTGTCCTATTTTTCGATGAAAGATCTAAATAGTTACTTAACGATCCGTAGAGATTAATTCTGTGCGAGAAGAGAGAGAGAGGGAATGAGCGAAAGAGAAAGCGGTCAAGAGACACGAAGCGGAAAGCAAGAGAGCACATAATTAACTCTTGGCTCGTGCCTCTTCGATTGTATTTTTCTTTTCTTTTCTCTCTTTGTCTTTCTTCTTTTTTTCTTCTTCATCTTCTTTGACGTAGTCATCGCTATTAAATGTCGTACTCTTTTTCCTCTTTTTATCATGTAGAGTGTTAGGCATTAAACGGTAGAAAACCG